CGGGTCGGGTCGGGAGGGGAGAATGCGCCGGGCCGGTCGGAGGAGTGTGGGTGGCTACCGCGAGCGGAGCCTTGGGCTGTTCGGCCGGATTTCTTTTTTGGGGGGTTTGTTGTGTTTTCTTTCAGGCCGCATGTGCTTACCTGTGTCTCCTCGCCTTGCGGGGTTCAGAGTGGCTTCAGATGAATAAAAGAAACAGTAATAATAAACCCAGAAATGTGGTTGCACGCACAGGAGGTGGGCTTTCCAGGGAAACGCCCTGCAATTGAAGACTCTTGAGCCTGAGCGGGGAATGGCGTTTCTATTAAAAGCTAGTAGATTCAGGGATTTTTTTCACTCTGCTTCAAAAAAAAATGATTACTGATGCGTAACTTTTTTTAATCTGCCAATCATAAAGCACGTCAAAAAGGAGTGGGTCGGTAGATACATTTCCATGTTTGTTCACATTCAAATGCACCATTAAGAGCCCAAAATTCTAAAAACTCTTCCGCAGCCTTTGCACCTTACAGTTTCTCAGTCTTTCAGGCCAATAAGAGGGATCAATAACCTCGTTGCGTCTGGAAGCATTGGCTTACTCTTCGAGGTCACCGATATTGTGGGTGGCAAGAAGGTAGAGGGGGCATAACCATGAAACGGTTGCAGTGGGACGCTTGCACGTTTGCGTGGGCATGAGAAATGCTGGAATGGCTGAAACCGCAGACGTGTCCCCCTCTTAGTCCTATGGGCAATCCATAGGGCACAGGCTACACAAGCGTGTGCCCTATGGCTTGCCTACAAACAAGTGCATCCTGGGCCCGGCGTGCTGGGAAAGCGAGAGGTGGACTGCAAGAGTTCTTTGGGCACAGGGCACTGTGATAACCTGTGATAACACGCACAACTGCGTGCTGCAGTACCCCACGGCACGTCGGTGTTGCAGGCTGGCTCTGCTGTTGGTTGCGCCATAAACATACAACACTGCGCCAGGCTCTGTCGTACAGACTCGTGGGAGCAGAGGAAAAATGGCTGCAATGTTTCCTTTTTTTGTTTCAACTAGTAAGGCCCGATTTGTCTTAAGAAGCAACCTCATATCCCTGGCCTTCAGTTAGCTTCGCCTGGCGTGTCCCACCTCGGGTGTTCACCTAAGCACACGGCGAGAGACCCTGCAGCCCCCTGCAGCTGTACCCAGCCCTTCGCTTTTCCATGGTGGGTTTTGCAGCTAGGTGAGAAAGCACAGGGCCTAAACAAGTGCATCCTGGGCTCGGCGTGCTGGGAAAGCGAGAGGTGGACTGCAAGAGTTCTTTGGGCACAGGGCACTGTGATAACCTGTGATAACACGCACAACTGCGTGCTGCAGTACCCCACGGCACGTCGGTGTTGCAGGCTGGCTCTGCTGTTGGTTGCGCCATAAACATACAACACTGCGCCAGGCTCTGTCGTACAGACTCGTGGGAGCAGAGGAAAAATGGCTGCAATGTTTCCTTTTTTTGTTTCAACTAGTAAGGCCCGATTTGTCTTAAGAAGCAACCTCATATCCCTGGCCTTCAGTTAGCTTCGCCTGGCGTGTCCCACCTCGGGTGTTCACCTAAGCACACGGCGAGAGACCCTGCAGCCCCCTGCAGCTGTACCCAGCCCTTCGCTTTTCCATGGTGGGTTTTGCAGCTAGGTGAGAAAGCACAGGGCCTAATTTCTAAATATTTTAATTCCTTATGCTCTGTTCAAGTAATTGTGGACATAGAAAGGGAATGAATTTGTCTGGACCTGCAATCATTTCC